GCGAAAATGAGCGGCCCAGTTGTGTGTCTCGCACCCTGTTCCCTTCCCACCGTTTTGAGCATGTTTTCCGGATCCATTGCGCCACGACAAGGGACCGCGTAGATCATTCCTGATCACCGCGTCGAGGTGGGCTCGGCTGACAGTGAGATTCACCAGGATATCGTGCGGCCAAGTGTCAGATCAGCCGGATCAGAGGGGCTGCCAACCAATGCCGTCTTTGCCGGATCACGGGTGAATTCTATTTCGCCTTCGATCTAACCGTCCATTCGTATGCTATGCACATCGCCGCCGATGAATCCCCATAAGCAAGGTGTTCGGTACGACTTCCATTCATGGCTGCGGCGGTACCTGCCGCGGATATGCCTGCCTCGTCAGAATGACCCTCGTCAGAAGACGGAGAAGCTGATTCAGTATGGGGAACCATATGTCCAGTGCCGCTGTTTCAGCCGTTCAACTTCGAGATCCACTTCTGCAAGACATTCAAGCCATTCACCAGCTAACCATCTCTGGCTCTGCAAAAGCACGACCACATCAAACAAGGCATGTGGAGCTCGCAATGTGAAGCTCATGTAACCTTCGAGCCGGACCAGTTGCGTATCAGCGGCCGCCGATACTCGATAGTGGATTCAAATTGTGGAAAAGCGATATCTTCCAGACATGACTGGATACCTGAGGCTTCTTTTTCTAGGCCCCTGTTCAAGTGACTCGGCCTGACCCACCAACGTCCGCGTCGGCCTGCCTCACTCCCCTGTCATTGCAGAAATCGTTAGCGCACCCTCCTCCGCGTGGCTGACGCTCAGCGAGTTTATTCGTGAACGTTGCGTGACAGGACGTTAGTATCGTTTGGTCGGCGCCATCACAACGCTACCGGCGATACCATGAGATCGCTGCTACTGCTACACGCTCACGGCCTTGCTCACCGTATCCGGTCTACTCCAAGTGTCAGATCTCGAGGAGTCGCATCTAGTGTTACCCCGTTTCTTCCTTATTCAAGCCAGCAATGCGACGGGGTGAGGAGTCAATACGTGACCTGCTGAGAGTCTCCCGCGGCAGCACAAGGCTTGCTTCTGAAAAGTGGTCCGACATCCGCATACGGCCTGTATCCCGCCACATGATTTCCACCACTGGGAATCTTCCTCCCTTCGCAGTGCTCCAGAAGGATCACATAGTCGCGATCGGCGCCGATCTATGCTCAACATGATCCGCAATTATAGCGCCAGGGGGTACTCAAGGAGAGTTTTGTTCACACGGCGGTCGATTCACAGGTGCATAATGAACGCAGGACCAAGCTCACCAGTTTGCCGCTGTCAATGCGCTGGACTCTAGACCTGGTATTATGCTGAAGCAGTGGCCTAAGCCGTTAGTGACCGTTGATGTTGTTTTTTCCGCAACGTCTATCCGAAGGAAGCTCTCTGCGGGACACGAATGCGCAGCCCATCGACGATGTGAAGGAGTCGAAGGATGCACCGCAAGATTAGCCCGAGGGGCCCACGACACGTCAATCACGAACCCACGATCTCCGTTTGAACTTCGGCTTCTAATGACTAGCACACGTGAGACCCGGTCCCGCGGGCAGATCCCAAGTGCTTTCCAATGATTACGGATCAGCCTGTCCGTCTGAGATCGAGTTCGTGTGTCGGCACCCGCGCATATCTCGCATTCGGAAGCCCACCCGCTACATCCCAATCTGCAAAGGTCATCACACGTAAGGGCATAACCGCGCCGGGGTTTTGGATGTCGAGCCCCGCGACAAAGACGAAAAGGTCGCGAAAGGCTTCGCAGTTTGATGACCCAGTGACCCTGTTATTACTGCGAGGCGCTTCAGTGTATGCAGCTGCAACAGTATACTCCGAAGCTACTGCTGCAACTGAATATTGGGTGTGTTGCATTGCATATCGCCGAACAGCGCGCAGCAAACGACACTGCCGTGAGCAAGGGTGGGGCACAAGATCACTGTCACGGTCTGTCGGTCCTTTAACAACGTGAAACTGTCAGCAGATCCACGTTTATCGACCTGGCTGTCGGGAGCCGCACCGCCCAAGTCAAATGTGTACGTGGACATCACTCTATCTAAACCTAATCTCCATCAACTCCGGGTAAGGGCTTTTACGTGTGGTGGCCATGTAATACCGGTCGGGCTTATGCAGCCTGAGGATCATAGCATGGGTCTTTGTCCTTGCTTCCTTTGACCTACCCCATGTTGGTAAGCTCCGTGCAATCTCGATCGCTCAGGAATATGGGTTTTATTTTTCTCTGCCAGACTGCATGCATGCGATACGATCTGCTCCGCAAGCAATGCAGTAAGTTGCTGTGCCGTGCGTGAAAACCGTCGCAGATACATTGGTACTTCGCCGACGACGTTTACCTGCAGCCGAAGGAAGGGGGTGGTATGCGGGCCTAAGTTGAACGAGATGTAACGTACATCGCAATATCTGTTTAGCTTCTTTCTTGGATCATGTCGATACCCGAACCCAGTGCGGGATCTGCCAGCCTGCGTGCTCCAAACTTGATATGCCGCAACGGAGGCAAGTATGACGACATGAACGGGCCCACAACGTCTATCACCAAGGTCCCAGATCAAGACACTCCGAAGCCCCCACTTTCCGATACGTGACCGACATCATACTGGAACAACATCTTGGTCGGAACACGAGGAAGGGGTCTTGGTTACTGTACCAGAAATGCAAGGCAAGCAATATACCTGCCACTGCAATCCTTCTACGTCATTCGTGGGAAAACCACACCCCTGGTAGAAGTAAGAGCACGCACGCATAACTCATTGCACTCCCGCACACATCCTGCAGCCCAGCCAGCCACCCCAGCTTACCCGAGCTCGGAGCCGCCGCAATCCCATCCCTCCCTTCCCTTCCCCCATCACATCACGCACCCTCGCTCTATACCAGGGTAATCTTATCATCTGCATCTCTTACCTCGTATATCCCGCCAATTCGCCAAAAGGCTTGGGTCATAATGGCAGGCCCCCAGTCTACTAACTACTAACTTGGTTCCGGCAGCGGTTCTTCTTTTCTCTCCGCATATGCGCCGTTGATCCGCCCCTTCTGCACTGCTGCTCTCTCCACGCTCGTATGACGTGTGCCATTCTGTGCACCAAGCTCTACAGTACAGTGACGCCGGATGGAAGGGTCTCCGTGGAATAATGCCGCGCCTTATATGTACGCTGTACATTCGCTTCACCTCAACCTTTTCGTTTGCCTGGCGAATCGCTTAGGTGTACACCGTACCATATACTCATCTCGCTCAGTCGCTCACGCGCGCCTTTATGCGCACGCGAATGCAAGCTTGCCATACACTAAAGCCGCAAGCGAGGACGGCCTTCTCTGTCTAGTCTGCTCGCTATTCGTCTCCTCATCGTCGATTTTCCGTGCGTTCATTTCTGCCACCGGCCAATGAGTCTTCCTGCATTTTGTAGGTGAAAGCGACGGTGTGTTCTCGGATTCAAGTGTCAAGGGTAAGCGAAGGATTCTTGATAGTCGCAAGATGCGATGCGGGCTTAGCGCGGATCTATGATCTGGGTTGATCGCGCGGGTCAAAAGATGGGGCTGGCGTTTGCAGAGGGTTGGTCGTGATGGAGGGGGGTGACGTGGTTGTGACGGCTGGGAAGGCAGTATGTGGCTCGGGTGAAGGGCTGGTGTATGGCTGTGTCGATGCCAGTGCGGTGTATAGTGCCGTATACGAATGACGGGTCATGACTTTGTGAGGTGATGCCTACGGGGAATACTCCGCAGTTGATACGCCAATTTGAAGTCACCTAGGTCAAATTTACGGCCTTTAGTACATGTCTTGAAATTTCCTGTCGAGTTCGCACAATCCAGCATCTCGAAGGAGACAAACCCTATAGTTGATAGCACAACTCTTCCCATGGAGTACAAAGAGGCTACATAACCAACACACCCCATAACAGCAACCAAATCGCCATATTTATACCTCCTACGTTACCCACAGAGAACCACTGCCAGGTAATCTAAGGTTAACTTTACATGCCCTTGAGCTCCCTAGCGCTATGGATACGCTACATCGTTTATATCCACCTTTCTCTAGCCATATCAACTTGACATAAGGTTTGGCCCATCTGTCATACTACTTACACTACATACAAGATAATAGTAAGCTATAGCACATAGATCTGTATTATAGTACATTATTCCTGTGCCGATGTTCTAGTCACTAGGCTAAGAATTGTTAGTTCTTGATATTATTAAACTAATCTTACGTGTAACACTTTCGAAGTACTAGTAGCAAAGAGAACAAAGGGGTAAAGCGTAAGACCGTAGTCGTGTACATGCTTTACATTGATAGTGCAGCCACGGAAGTGAAGACAGCAATGCCGATAACCTGGCGAAACGATAATTCTTTCGCGGCAAAGACAAACTTTGACGGGCAAAGTCATTATAACAAGAAGAAATGATATACGGAGACATAGTGTGAGAACTTAATGAGCTGAGCCCAATCGACTGTGATGTATATGCGAGAAAGTGTTTCTCTTGAGGAGGGTTTGATGGTAGACGCATCTGACGTATTCTCAACAAGTTGATCGCATTTGTCTAATGCAGCAGGTAGCATACCACACCTACTCTTCACTACTTGATCTTCCGGTGAATGCGCTCGTGATTGCTTAGTCACGATTATCTGCATACCTCTAATACCCTCACGAGTATGCACAGAAATACAGTGAGCTACTTCTTTTCGTCCGCCGCAGAAATGAAGGAGCAGCACATTCGCACATACAGCGTGACAAAGATTCCTGCGTGATCATCCGATTACATGCATAACTAGTACCAGAAGGTGGCCTTATTTGTATGAGAAGAGAAGTGAAGAGTAGTATGTATGTCGTCATGCAAAGCTGCGGAGAGCGAGGAGACAATGATCATAACGTAGGTTGATTGTAGCCTACTTGAAACCTTCGAGACGGGTGTTTGATACCACTCATGCCTGATCATCAGATATATCTCTCTCCCGTGAACAACATTCTCACCATCGGACTACTCCTCCCGTACCCATATGCTCATCTTCGCAAGCCACTCGTGAGAAATTTGAATCGGGAAACCCGCCGCACCAAATATCTGGGTGCCATTCATGACGTGCGTATAAGACTCAAGCATCGTAGCATAGGCCCTTGTCTCCGGATTGTTGGCAACTACCGGGTTGTCCCAATCGTAACTGATGCAATCCACGTCCGGAGCTTTGTCATTGTTCAAAAAGAGCGCGGCAGGACCTTTGCGGTGTGGTGCCTCGGTTGCGAGATCGGCGATGATTTGTTTGACAGGAGCTCCAGAGTAGCTGGAAATCACAAGCGAAGATTCGTTGATGGCCAGAAAACCCTCAGGTTCGGTCACAGTCTGGATCGGTACTGGTAGCTCAGACAGTAATGCGCGGTCACGTTCTGTGTAAGCGGAGTCTTGTGCGATTATCGTGATTGGATTTTCGAGTGGCACGCCGTTCTGCTTGTATAGTCGGGTGAGATCTAGAGCGAGAGTACTAGCAACAACGTGCTTTGACATCGACTTTACACTCTCCATGTTAGATCCGTGTAGGGTTCCCATGCCTATGCAGACAATGTTGGAGATCGGAGCGGTATGCTTGAAGCTCTGGACGCTTTCAAGAAAAGTAGGTCGTGCCTTGCTGCCACCCCACGAGACTAGTTGTGCGAACTTGCTGTAGTACGTAGCCGCGTTGGCCAGATAGCTTTTTTCCATCGCCATTTTCTCACACTCGCCGTGGACTGGGAGTAAATGCCATGTCTTGGCCTTCTCGTGCTGCGAAGAGACAGCGAGGTGATGGGGTCCCCGGTAACTTAAGACGGGATGTTCCCTAGCGGAATGTTAACGTAACAGATACGCGGTCTAATGTGTAACTACACGTTGTACATACCCAGGAAGACAGGCACGCTTGGGTTGGAGGACCACAGTCTGACCGAAGCAAGTCGTCAAGGTAATCTCTTGACCTTCTCCAATCAGAGGAAGTTGATTTGCGGCATTGCGAAGCATGAGGCGACTGTAGATAGGTCGGTCTCCGCGTGAAGCCATGAATGCGTTGAAGTCAACGACTCTGCGAGAGTTGTTTGTGGATCCAATTCCGATTTCCTCAAGCACCTCGGCGAGGGGCTCGTGAGTCTGGATGGGAAGTGTCTCGTTGGCGAATTCCTGGAATTGCTGCGCGCCGATGGGACACATATACCACCACATGGCAGCTGCTGGCGCGGCTGAACAGTTCATTCCCAACGATGCAGGCTGTATACCCCATGTGTTCTCCATTATCGTTGGTTATCGTAGTGCTAGAAGATTCGGTATCGAATGAGACGTCGAGAATGATCGGAGTGGGTAGTTGGAAACCGTGACGGGCGATATGCTGACAATGGTGGAAGCGTGGGACGATACTGTGGGGGTAACGATATTGACAATGGGTTGATGATGATGTAGAGTGTAAGAGCCAGCTGGGGATGGAAGTAAACATGACCCGAGGTTGTGAGCAGATGCTTCATGCACGTATGCCACTGCCGCTGACGGTGACGTGAGGGAAGAACAAACCTGGATCCATGGGCTGGGTAAGAGCATACCGCAGCGCCGTCGGTAAAGCCCGCCGTTCTGCCACTCCTGCGATTGTGAGTGCCGATAGTGATAGCATTGCTCTAAAATACCACATCCAGTAGCCCTGTAGCTATCACAAGTGATGATGGAAAAGCTTCAGCCACCGAAGCGTACTCGGTGAATGTTCCAAAGGCCACCGGAAATGCTTTGGTAGCCATCCGGAGTGTCTTTCAGGTACTTTCCGATCCTTGAACTGCTCTTGCATATCATTCATCAGAAGTGTGGCTTCCGCGCAGCCGATCGAGATATCTTATGTAACCTCCCACATTGAGTAGAAGCTGCGAATGAGATGAGAACATCTTCCCTCGGAGACAATGAGCGAGCGTAACGCGTAAGACACGCGCATTGCATCAATGCGATGCTTCTGTGACCGTCGCGAGGCGTGACCCCTGGATCCAGGCTCATCGTAGATAGCCTGGATAGATTCCGTGATCTTGAGCGAAAGCGCGTTGAGCTAAGTTGGGAGGTGCAACCACTCTTGAGGTGGCTGCTGTGTTGCAGGGTACGCGCGCAAGGACGATGACGCGATAGCGCGGAAATTGACCACTAGCGTCATCAGGTGTCGCAATAATTCGTGAGACTCTTGGCATTCACAGCAATAACTATAATAACAGCGCTTTACAACATTGTATATTATAATATAAATAACATAGTAAAAGAAGCTTATAAAGCTAAAATATATTATAATAAAAAAGTTATAAAAAAGAGTTGTAAGTACTGCGTGTTGTGCGCAAATGCCAAGAGTCTCACGAATTATTGCGACACCTAATGGCGTCCTTTTCTGTCGCGTCGTCTCTACGTGACGCGTCTCTTACCCTCCAGCACCTCAGACAAAGAAAAAGCTGAACAGGTGCGCCAAAGTCTCTATTAGAACAAAGACAAGAGTTTTAAAAGAAGTTAAGGCAATGTAGTCTTGTTAGATTTTTCTCTTCTAGATTTACTTCGTGGAGGTAGCTGTCCACTTCTTCCCTTGAATGGGTGCCAGCCCTGGAGGGCACCTTCGGGTCTGCATCGTCATATGGTCGCAAGCCTCATCCAAGCACTCATTCACTGTCGAAGTGATTGAGTAGACTCCTCCAGACACATATTACCTGTTAGTATCTGTGCAATCGGCCATAGCTTGGACGGTCTCGATTTTCACCTCGGCCTGGGCGTGTGTCGCCACCCGTGTAGCGCCTAGTATCAACGAAGAAGAGGATGCGCCTTTGACTTTCGCTAGACTCTTGGCTTGGTTTGGGCGGGTTATGAAATTTGTACCTTGGTCTGCGAGATGATTGTGATAGCTTTGAGGCGGTTCGCTGGAGTGCTGTTGGATGCTTCACCGCAGTACCGTGGTCGTTGTATCAAACTCGTAACGCGCCCGCTACAACATGAAATACATGATTTGAGCATTCAGCACTCCCAAGGAACATTGTATAAGCCTTTTCCCTTCTTTGTAGCATGGAAGCATCGTAAACTCCAAGCGCAGACCTCAGTATACGTAGTCCCAAAGCGGCCCTTGTATAGTTGTGATTTACCGATACTTAATTGCTTTGTATGTGATGCATCAATCTTGATAATTTTCTAGGCCCCAAAGCAATACGTTGTAACAACAAATGTCAATTTCGTGCTTTCTCTGGCCGTTGCGGATGCTACGAGCGGAATTTATGTCCTCTGATACTCAACCACGGTGTACCCCAATATGGCCTTGACAAGGTATCCAATGCGTAAATGACAGTAGGTAGCGCAGCATCGCTATCTACAGTGGGGAAAAGCAGGCCGAACATTTGAAGTAGATTAGTACTTTGGCCATATTCTGTCCTAGCACGTCTAAATCGTTGTGATGTTTGGAGCGCAAGACACCTATGGACTGGCACATAAGCTGCGACAATCCTCTGCCGCATGTGTACGTTCAGCTGACCACATATGGATTTATTCCAGCCTACAGTCCTGTGTAGCGCTGAGCCTCTGCTTACCAAGATGCAGTTTCTAATGTCGAGATAGCATATACAATGCCTCGTTTCGTGGATAGGGTCTTGTGTACCTGCGGCAGTTATCGTTGCTAGCATCGGCTACAGGTACTTTGTTAGTAAGTCGCTCAATCCTTTTGTTGAGACTTTCGCGCGCTAACGCCGTTAGTGTTTGCGTGCCTTACGCTGTTCCGGCAGTAGTCCTGCAGACAGTGTTCTGGGGTATTTAAAGACGAAATTGTGGTACAAGTGACGGATGCGACGAGGAGCAGCGAGCGTGGAAGTAGGAACACGCATATGATGCTCGGGCCTCAGGGTCTAGTTGTAACTGGGCGAGACGTGTGCGATACTGGTAGCCAGGTTTCGAAAGCCTCTCGGGCTTTTGAGTTTGTCGCATCACAGTCGCGTCGACAAGTTTCCTTTACCATGTTTCAGCGTGAGCCAATTAGGCATGTGCTCTGGTAAGCAGAGATACGGTGTGGGCGCAGGAAGGTATATCCGGCGAACATCAGGAATGCAGGGAGCCGAAGGGGACTAGGGCGGGCGAAAACCATGCAGACCCGTGGGTGGAATAATCAGAATCTGAACAATTTTAGTGCAGCCAGCGCGCGTATATACAAGCCGCCCCTCCACGCTCCCTTCCGTCTATCTGCCCTCGCTTTTTCAGTTTTCCTGTATTGTATAGACTCTCCACTCTTCCGTTGGGGCGTCTCTACATCCACGCTTGATACCCGGGGTTTTCACCCTCTCGCGCTGTTGGGCACCGCTTACGCTTGAGCCGCCGCGAATAATTCCAGACCGTATCGATAAGCCCCTCCACCAAAAAGAAATCGCTCGTCGCAGATTCACAGCGCAGCACCACTCACCCCTACCGGCTTCTCTCGCAGATGCCGCACTCTGAGTCGCCGCCTATGGCTCCCGCTATTGTCGTCGACAAGGCCAGCGCAGCCCCTGCGCCCTCGCAGGAGGATGTCAACGCCTTCATCAGCAGCATCGTCACCGCAAAGACGTCGCACGCCTCGGTCGACGCCGCCTACGCCCTCACGACTCTCCTCCAGAACTCAGTAGGCTTCCGCGGCCTCACTGGCTATGGCATACTCGAGGAGATCAAGAAATCGGCGGCCAACAAGAAGGACGCCGTGCGGAGAGAGGGCGCCATGAACGCCCTCGGTGCCTTCTTCGAGCGCCTCCCGCGCACACAACGCCTGACAGAGGCCATCTTCCTCGTCCAGAACGAAGGGCTGGTACCCATGGTCCTTGACCTGCTGGCAGACAAGACTGGCTCCGTCAAGGAGTCGGCCAAGTACGCTCTCGACTCGCTGTTCGAGAACCTCAGCGCTGAGGCCAAGGTCTTCGGCCTCTTGCCTGTGCTGACCAAGTACCTGGGCAAGAAGTCCGGAAAGTGGCAGGGTGCTGCTTTCGCCTACGAGCTCATCGGCCGCATGGCCGACAAGGCCAAGATGGGCATGGAGAGCCTCGAGGTCGAGAAGGAGAAGGATGTTCTCCGCGAGTCCATGGGCAAGAAGCTCGAGGGTCTCATCCCTATCGTCGAGGCCGGCATGCACGATCTCAAGAACGAGGTAAGATTTCTCGCGCGCTATCTCACAGCCACCGTACTAACCACGAACAGGTCGCAAAGCAGTCTGTCAAGACGATGAACAGCCTCACCACCCTCCTCCAGAACGACGATATCGCGCCCCGGATACCCCTCCTCGTCAAGGCCATCGAAGACCCCTCCACAACCAGTCTGCAGAAGGCCATCCACGCTCTATCCCAGACCACCTTCGTCGCTATTGTCACATCACCCGTCCTTGCTATGGTCACACCTCTGCTCGAGCGCTCTCTGAACATGCCTTCCACATCTCAGGAGGTCACCCGCCAGACTGTCGTCGTAGTCGAGAACTTGACCAAGCTCGTTCACGACCCTATCGAGGCCCGCGCCTTTTTGCCCAAGCTTCGCCCAGGTGTGCAGTCCGTCAAGGACCGCGCTTCCCTGCCTGAAGTCCGAGAGATCGGCCAGCGTGCGCTCGACGTTATCGAGAAGGCCATGGCCGACCCAGACCACAACATCGACAGCGGCGCCATCGCGAGGACACAACCATCGGATGTTCAGAAGGTTATCGAGAAGCAGATCACCGCTTCTGCCAACCTCCTTGACTTCCCCGGAGACGCGGAGGTCTTGGCTATCACCAAGAGGTACATCTCCGAGATGATTGCTGAGGTTGTTGATCAGCGCGAGCTTCAGCGCCTGCCAAAGCTCGTTGGCCCCTACCTGGAGCCTCTGCTCAACGCCGGAGACGCCGACAAGGTCGCAGAGGCCGTGCACCAGTTCTACGTGGACGAGGACCACCGCAAGTTCGGCCAGCCCGTCAAGGAGGATGACGGAGAGACGGAGATCGTTAACGCTGTCTTCTCCCTAGGATACGGTGGCATGTTGCTCCTCTCGCACACCAACCTTCGCCTGCTCAAGGGCCACCGCTACGGTCTTTGCGGTCGCAACGGTGCTGGAAAGTCTACCCTCATGCGCAGTATCGCAAGCGGCAAGCTGGAAGGTTTCCCTTCTCAAGACGAAGTCAAGACATGTTTCGTCGAGCACAACCAGGGAGAAGACGCTGATCTCTCTATTCTTGAGTACATCGTTCGCGACCC